AAGCAATTATAGGCAACCGTACAGCCTTCAAAAATATATGTTGCATCATTGCTAGGCCGTTATAACAACATCAGCATTTATTGTAATATAATATACAAGAAAATTACACCACTTCAGATAGTTTCAGGTATGATTTGATAATTGTGCATAGTAGCACCAGCTGATCCAACTAAAACCGCTAATATGGCATATTCAAACTCTAGTACATAGTGGAATTAAACCATACACCACTGTTGGACACCATTATTGAAATTATTATTCTGATAAGAAATTTAGAATATTCCTCCATGCAGCCCGCAACAATTAGCAAAACCTATACTGCATAGTAAGCTATAAACGACAACGAAATGACAAATGTAAAACAATAAAACTAAAGCAGCCTGATTTATGTAAAAAACAATTATGAAAAATAAATATGATATACAGCAACAATCAACAATCACCAAATTACTGGGTCCTCACTATGGACAAGTACATACAGAATGTGGCAGGTTAAACATGTCAGCTGGCACAAACATGGGACAGTGTATGTGCATAATCTCAGACATTGAATCTTTAAAAAATAAATTGGAAATATCTTTTGAAAGTGGTAGGATTGGATAGCGGAAACATTACGGTACACACATTATTTGATACTCGAGAAATAGCTGAGATAAATATTTTCACCAATTCTTCCACAATATTCATCTTAACTTCTGTCAAGTTTGCCTTTGGTTTTTTAATTAACTGGCTATAGCGCCCTTGGTGCTTTGATTCGTGTTTTTTTGCCATGGCGTTGACAGTTTGTCATCGACTGATGAGTTTGAATATCCCTTTGGTATCTTCCGCATCTCCTATACAAGTGGGGGGCTACATATCAATCATCTCGTACGTTTGTCCAACAAATATTTCCGTGAGATTTTAATCAGAAACTACAAAATGAATTTATATTTGACCAGCAGCATGGTGATGAGTTGTATTGTGTGAGCACTTTTCAGGTCTCTCAGACACATACGTTTTGTTTGTCGATATTTTTTTTAATTGAACGAATCTACACATATTGTACAAACATTTCAACTTCATATTTGGTTAGCAGCTCAATAGTGATTATCGCAACTTTTAAGAATCTGTTAGACACCTACTTCATGTTCTTCGATAATTCGACTTTTTCAATATTTTGAATGAACTTTAAAATTTTCGTCAAATAATTCTCAAATACCACTGACCAAAATGACTATATTTAGAAAGCATCATTTTCGGATGTGTTTGACTCCTACGTCCCGTTTTCAGGTACTCAGTCGAATTTTGCAATATGTTTAATGAACTTTAAAAAAATGTCAAACATTTTTTCAATAATACTGAACAGAAGAACTCCATATTTGGTCAGCAACTCAATAGTGATGAGTTGTTACGTTTGTGTCCTTTTCGAAACTTTCAGACACCTACTTCCTGTTTCACGATACATTAAAAAAAACGAGTGGGAAAATGCTTCGAACCGATGCAGGACGCGACGTCCATACTGCCATGCCGTCCATAGGATGTATCGTACATATCTTGAAAAGATGTATCGGTCATAGGACAACATCGTCCATACTTTGTGAAGACGTGTCGTTTTTCTTTTTGAAAAATTAATTTTATTTGTGATATTTCCATGTAGATGGTTATTATAACTTGTAAATGTATTATGCTAAATTTACATTATTTGTCATGTTTTTATATGTTATACACTTGGAATACGCATTATGCATATCTTATATAAATGTGCTTCATCTAATAAAATATTTATATTATTTTCTAAACGGATTTTTAATATCTTGCATAAAACAAACTGAAAAAATAAAACAAATAAAAATGTGTATCATAAATGGGAGAACATAACTAAAACAATAATTTTAGTTTTGAAATATAAAACTAAGTAATCAGATAATGATTAATCTGAAAATTAGGAGAAATTATTAAGAAAAATGTTAATTGCTTATTATTCCCCTACCGACGAAATCGAAGGGGACTTTATGTTTGCACTCCGTCCGTCTGTCTGTTTGTCTGTCTGTCAGTCCGGCAAATCAGTTTTCCACACTTTTTTCTTTATGCTTGAAGATATTGATTTGATATTTGGTGTATTGTTTTATCATGACAAGCTAAAGATCAAGTTCGAATTTTGTTCCGGTCTGATGATTCTGTGCTAAGTTATGGTCCTTTGACTTAGAAAATTCACTCAAATAATCAGTTTTCCGCTTTTTTTTCGTCATGCTTAAAGATATTGATTTAAAAATTGGTATATAGTTTTATCATGACAAGTTGCAGATCGAGTTCGAATTTTGTTCCGGTCTGATGATTTTGTGCAGAGTTATGGTCCTTGGACTTTGAAAATTCACTTGAATAATCAGTTTTCCACACTTTTTTTCGTCATGCTTGAAGATATTGACTTGATATTTGTATATATATAGTTTACACCATGACAAGTTATAGATCAAGTTAGAATTTTGTTCCAAAACAACGAATTTTTAACCGTTAGGGTACTATGTATTGCCATGCAATACTCACAGAATGCTTGTTATCATTTCTTTGATGAACATTAGTATTAATTATGCTTTTGTCAAGAAATTGTAAAGGAAACACAAAACGAGATCACTCTAAAAACAAAAGCACCCATAATGAGTTCAAGCGGATACAAACATACATTCGGTAGTGAAATTCTTGTAACAGTACAAGCTGTTTGATCAGTCTTTTTGAAGTGCCGACCTTGCAGCATAAAAGTAACCAGAAATGTCGTTTGCAATAATTTGTAAAACAGCAGCCTCGCCGTATATTAATTTTTCAATTCAATTCAAAATATTTTATTGTTCAAATATCAAACGTACATTTAAACAAAGGGACTGGACAAAAAGCAACGCCTATATGAATCCTTTCCCATACAAGATGGATTGAATAATCTGATAGTATATAATATATTTCTGATAATTCATAGATCATTCATTTTTGCAGTGAGTCAGGGGAGGCAATCCCCCCTCCCAATTCTTGAAATATTTTATTGGGTATGCATATATAAATAATAATTATTAGTGAACTCTTACAAGTTCTCTACTGAAGAGGATAATGTCAAATTTTATACCACATTAATAAGAAATGGTAAAGAATCAAATACATCTTTTAAGTGATATTAACTCAAATTCACTTGCTCACTGCAACAAAGTTGCTCTATTTGTATAGATAATAATAATAATTGCCCCTTATTTTGCATACACAGTAATTTAGTATATCATCTTATTACAAAGACTGTTTATTTCTTGATTTTTTTTATAACATAAGTATTAGAAAATATGAAATAAAACATTAATAAATTTACTTTCAAAAAGATGCTAACACAATTGATTATTGTTGTTTGTGTTAGATGTTAGTTTTTCTTTAAGACTATATATTTATGTTATAATAATGAAACAATACTTGTTGTATTATTATATTTTATGTTATAACCACAATGAAATAAATACTTAAAGTATGGACGATACGTCCTATGGACGATGTGGCGCTATGGCCGATACATCCTATGGACGACGTGGAAGTATGGCCGTCGCGTCTCTAAAGCCTTCGAACGACCACGCATGTATTCTTGTTGAAATTACTTTGGTATGTTTTGAGCAACACACCAGTGCAAGGAGAAACAGCCGACCTCTTCTTGAACATCTGAGTTCACCTTCCAACTTTTAGTAAGGTTAAAACGGTTCAACCTTTTGTGTTATTTGCAGTGTTTTATGAAATTGAATGTGTTGTCTTTTTCTCTTGGTCATGGTTTTGTCTATCTCATGAACTGTGTGCAAATAATCAGATTAGTAAAGTAATGCCAGTTAAGTAACAACATGAGAAAAGTGCTGAACTGAAATCCACGAGAGAAAAGTTTCAATAAAATCGTATTTGTTATTTTTTGAAATTCTAGAAAAGTAAGTCAACGTCTAAAGGACCAATCTGCCTAAGAATCAGGCAGTGGTGAAAACATGGCAAACAAAAACCCGCTCATCATTGCATTAAGTTATGTTCAAATTGTATAATGGTGCACGAATATAACACTCGTTTCCTTTTCCTGTTCTGGTAATTCAAGATATAATTTGGTTGAAATGCACTTGAAATTAACTATTAAGAGGAGCTAACTCCGTAATTTGCTATCATTCTAACCAAAATTTATCTAGATATTTCTCAAGTTACCAGACACGCAGAAACGAAAGACCTACCATTTCTAACTCAGGATGAGGGTAACTTCAATATAGGGTTGTTAGGTCGGTGGGTTTTTTGTTCGGCCATGTTTTGATTTTTTTCTAATTTGCCTGATTCTTACAAAGACTGGCACTTTGATACAACTTTTACAATCACATTGAACTGAGAACGATTACAGGACAACTTGACAAATGGGTGTACATGCCTGAATATCTCAACCGATTATTGATGCCTTGACAGTTCTGGTTTTCAACTATTACCATGCAGATATTATAACCAAACTCAACTGCATTAGTTATCTGAACATAGCAACGAAGCAAATATTTCAAATTAACAAAGAACACAGCTTGAATATGGAGTGCGCATAATAAAGGCGTCAATTTTTGCCACGCCTGCAAGAAATGTCATAGAATAAAATTCCATCTTCAATATTTCCATTGGCCTTGACCTCAGTTTTGTTTTGTTTTGTTTTGTTTCACCTACTGCATATTGTTTCCTATTCGTTTGGAAGGTCAGCACTTTTCCTGACATGAAATATAAATATTCATAAAATATCAAAATTATTTGAAACATTCATTTTTTTCAGAGACATATAACACAATTATATTATATGTCTCTGGTTTTTTTCTAGACCCAGACATTGATCTTCCTATCCAGATCTGGCACTAATTGTTGGAATTAACACCTAATTTAAAATGCTGTTCATCTTCAACTTGAAACTGATTTTCCCTTTAAAATGTTTTCCGTGGAATGCCACTGATGAGACGTATGTAGACATATTGCGTCTGGTGCACTGAATTGAAAGCCAACAATCTTGTATGATTTTTATTACCTTTGTAAATACAGGCATTCATAAATCAAGCTACCACGTGGGATTTATATACAATGAATTTGGCCACAAACTCTTTTGTTTTTAACAATTTCTGTTTTCTACATGCTCCACTAGATATGACTTCTGAAATACGATTGATAACTCCATGAAGAAATTTCCATGTGGAGGACAAGCGGAAGATTTAGTAATAACATAAACGGTACCAATTTTGCTGCACCAGATGTGCATTCCGACAATCAATGTCTCTTCAGTGATGCTCGAGGCCAAAATATTTGAAAATCCAAAGCTTATTAAAAAGATGAAGAGCTATAAACCAAAAACGACAAAAAATATTGCCAAAGCCGGGCAAGGAATCAGAGCTTCGTATGAGGGAGATATATTTCATCATTTAAAATAATTTCCAAAATTTTGTAAAACACAAAATCAGTATTTTCATGCCAGTACCGAAGTATTGGTTACTAGGATGGCGATACCCTCGGAGAATATCCGTCCACCAGCAAAGGCATCGACCCAGTGGTAGTAATAAAATAAACGGTACCAATTTTGCTGCACCAGATGCGCATTTCGACAATCAACGTCTCTTTTGTGATGCTCGAGGCCAACATATTTGAAAATCCAAAGCTTATTAAAAAGATGAATAGCTATTAACCAAAAAGGACAAAAAAGTATTGCCAAAGCCAGGCAAGAAATAAAAACTTTGCACAAGGGAGAGTAAATTGTTAATGTATGCACTGTGAAAAATAAGGATTAGACAACTTTCAAAAGCGAAAGAACGTTTTAAATAAAATATTGACAGAAACGCAAAAAATACTGACCTACATGTTCCAACTGACCGCGTTTATATTGGATGACACAGTGATTGTCTTTTAAGAACGCAGTGACATCCAATGGCAGTTTTAAGAATCTAAGCCATTATAGCTCAACAGCTGTATATTGAGTACGATGGTAATGAATTGAAAACTATAAATTTGGAGCGTTCGGGATTTACTTCCATCAGTTCACACCAAACAAGACGTGGTTATATAAATACTACTTGAGAAACTATATGACCAAAAGGGACCTAAAAAAAATCGAAAAATCCACATAAGGTCAACTTTGCCAGAGTTCTAAATTATCAATGGAAAATTTCAAGAAAGTATGTTGTAAATACAAGTACGAATATTGTACACTAAAATGGTAATTAAGGAGGGCTATATTTGTGCATGCACTGATACGAAGATTTGAATAGAACAGATGTGGATTTAGCGCTAGATATTTTGTTTTTAAAAGCACCTCTATTTTTGACTTTCGATCCATCTTCCCATCTGCATACCGTCACTGGTGTATTATCACAGATTGGTACATAATCAGGAGGTGAATAGTCATAATATGAAAATACAGACGGCATTATGTACAATTAAAACTCCATTTGTACGTCTCTTATGTTTCATCTTGCCTCGACTTCATTTTCCTGGGTCATCTTTAAGTATTTCTTATACTAAAACTTCTTGTATGGGATCATTGTACGGTTGACATGTTCATCTGACCTTGACCTCATTTCCATGAATCTTTGACCACGGTCATTTCTTCTAATACTTAAAAAAAACTTTCGATATAAAATTCAGTTATACTAGTAATCAGTTAAGCAGCCGATATATATATTTTAAGATCATATATACTTTAACACTTCTCACATTTCAATATGTCTAGCTCATCATAACATGAATTGCATCAATAAGAAGATGCTTGAAAACAAAGTAAATTTCAACGGAATCTTCTGAGTTCCAGTGTTGAGATATCTTGTCAAAGGTCGTGAACCTCCACAGTCCAGTCTTAGAAGTTCATTGATGATATCCTGTCCAAGCTGACTGAGATCTTGGCTACAGTTTGACAACGCTCTTGCACCACATATTCCAAATTCTTTAACGGTTCTTTAATTAAAAAATTTTAAAAAAAAATGTCTTCAGGTAATTTAAAAGGTATTTTTTAACAAATTGTCAATACAAAGATATTGATAGAATAACGTTTGAAAAATATTGGATTAAATGTTTGAAAATCAGTAAAGATTTTGAAAAAAAATCTCTTTATCTTGTTCATTTATCATAATAGTGCAATTTTCAACCCTCATAATTTTTAGATATCTTTCTTGTTTTTTTTTCTCTCTTAGAGGACCATCTTCTACTGATAATATCCTTTTACGTTAAGACGCCATAGGAACATTTTCTTTTTGCATTCATAAGTTCGTGCTAGGTCTTACCCAATGTGTAGTCTTGTAAAGTATATACTTTACGATGTTTTGTTTAACAGTTTATGGAAGGGGATTTCCAACATAATTCATTCAAGTTTATTCTACATTAGTTCCCAACTTCATTCATATGTGGCTTTTGTATTTTTAACTTTTATCTTCAGTATTTTCAGTAATTTTGGTAGCTCAGTACAATTACTGAAGTTTATAACGTTTAAATTTCAAACTAAAAGACAAATTGAAAGAGTTGGTCCTGCTTTGTTTCATAAAACACAATGGCCAACGTAGATACAAGTATCTTGTCTTAGTGAGGAATAAATCCTACTTTGTAAAAAATCACTCTGATTCCAACAAAAAATTCTCTGAAACTGACATTTTCAAGATGCTCGATTTCTTTATTGACAACATATTTGTTACGTTTGGGCACGTGGTTTTTCAACGAACAATCGGAATTCCCATGGGAACAAACAGTGTCCCTCTTCTTGCCGACTTGTTCATATGAGGCTGACTTCATACAGAACTTCTTAGGAAATAAGAAAAGAAGTTAGCAGCATCATTTAACTTTAACTTTACTTTCCTCTACATAGATGATGTTCTCTCACTAAATAATTCAAAATTTGGTGACAATGTTGAACGCATCTATCCCATCGAACTTGAGATAAAGGATACAACAGATACAGTTAAGTCTGCCTCATATCTTGACGTACATCTAGAAATTGACAATGAGGGTCGGTTAAAAACAAAACTTTATGACAAAAGAGATGATTTCAGCTTCCCAATAGTGAACTTTCCATTTTTATGTAGCAACATTCCAGCAGCGCCTGCATACGGAGTATATATCTCCCAGTTGATACGATACTCCAGGGCTTGTATTTCCTATTATGCTTTCCTTGATAGAGAGTTACTGCTAACAAGGAGGCTATTAAACCAAGAGTTCTAAGTGGTGAAGTTGAAATCATCCCTTCGTAAATTTGTTGACCGTTACGGAATATCCGTTTCACACATGATAGCGGATACGTTCCTAATGTCGTAACTACACTTCCGTCCCCTTTTCCCGAATGTGACCTACCGAATTCGACTTATTATCGGGTTTGTACTAACATGAGCAACACGACGGGTGACACATGTGGAGCAGGATCTGCCTACCCTTCTGGAGCACCTGAGATCACCCCCAGATTTGGTGGGGTTCGTGTTGCTCAGTCTTTAGTTTTCTATGTTGTGTTTTGTGTACAATTGTTTGTCTGTTGGTCTTTTTCTTTGATATCTTTCGCCCCTCTTTTACGGACGCCATCACGAGTTGGTTGACCGTTATGGAATATCCGTTTCACAGATGATAGCGGATATGTTCCTAATGTCGTAACTACAGTCCCTTTCCCCTTTTCCCGAATGTGACCTACCGAATTATACTTATTACCGGGTTTGTACTAACATGAGCAACACGACGGGTGCCACATATGGAGCAGGATCTGCTGACCCTTCCGGAGCACCTGAGATCACCCCCAGTTTTTGGTGGGGTTCGTGTTGCTCAGTCTTTAGTTTTCTATGTTGTGTATTGTGTACTATTGTTTGTCTGTTGGTCTATTTCTTTTTTGGCCATGGCTTTGTCAGTTTATTTTCGACTTATGAGTTTGAATGTCCCTCTGGTATCTTTCGCCTCTCTTTTAATAAGTGTTTCCTTAGTGTATTTCTAGTCACATATTTCCTTCTTGTGTACGAATTAGTTAAATATCAATATGTCTTAGTCAATCTATACAAGAATAAGCATACATGAAATTATGGTAGTATGTTGCTACCATAAAAGTGTATATGCAAACCATTAAAGATCACTTTCTATCTGAGGAATACATACCCACAAAGTTCTGTAACAGAATCGACATCAAAATATGTAATGTTTTTTTGAAAAGTGTCCAGATATTTCATGAAAAGATGATTTTGCTCCTCTAGTAGATATGTACAATTACTGAATCCTCCCTTACTGAAGCATTCCACGTTATTCTGAATGTCTGAAACAATGACATTGAGATAAGCAGACGGTACTGGACAGCATTTAGTTATACATCAACAGGGACAGTACTTGAAATAAGTATGCATTTCATGTTATATTAATTCTTTATAAATTTGTCGAAATGATCAAGTGCTGTATCAGAATTGGTACTGTGTGAAGTTCAATATAAAAATAAAAAGATGTGGTGTGTTTGCCAATGAGACAACTCTCTACCAGAGGACAAGCAAGTGAAACTGCGAGCTACTGCTCACTGATGATACCCCCGCCGCAACTGGATAATTTTAATAGTGTAAAAATATGTAAGTGTTCGGTAAACAGGAAGTTGTTGAGTGATGAACCTGAAAACGCATCACACGGTATAGCTGACTAATATAAACCCTGAAACTAAATTTCAGAAATCCTTATGATGAAGTAACTGAGAAGATGCGACGAAAAATATTCATGGTACGGACGGACGGACTGACGGACAGACAGAGGTAAAACAGTATACCCCACCTTTTTTTAAAACGGGGGTATAATGACGTAGAAGTCAACATCTATAGGTCAAGTCTGTATTGCAAGTGATATTTACCGCTTCAAATTAAAATCCAGAACTAATCATCATAAGTGACCGAGCTGATATGTCATGTCGCGTTATCTTTTAACATCCAAAACAGTTGTGGGGACCGAGCTGACATGTCATGTTGCGTTATCATATATCATCAAAGTCAGTTGTGGAAGAGAACGAAACGGTTAAAATGTCAACTCATAACAGCTTTACTATACGGTATAGTTTTTGATCATAGTTGATGGATGTACGCTAATTCTCATCTTTGTCATTTTGATCTATGGATAGTTGTATCATTAGCAATCATGCCACATCTCCTTAATTTTATATAAATGATTTAAATACGACATATTGACTATACAATTAAATATTAAAAAAAGGTTGTTTTCCCAATGTGTAAATGAATTTACATTCATGTTTTAAAATACAATTATCGTTTCGGCCTGCATGTATGCTTGAATCTGGGTGTTTTTTGCATGAATCTGTGTTTTTATATCAACTTAGCACCTGTATGTTCCAGCTGAAATTGAAAATATATTACATATGTTCCTAACAATAACTCCCTTGGTTAAAAAGCGTCAATAAAAGCAGCAACCCTCTATCATTAATGATATCTAAGACATATTACCTCTTGTTCGATCACACATTGCTCCAAAAATTACTTGTAGACGATAAGCATTGGTGAGGTCAAGAAACTTCATGAAAATTCTGTCTAATATATTTTTGGACTGACCAACTTCCCGAGCGATACAGGTGACAAAATCGTTCATCTTGCTGTAAAGATGATAATGTAACAATTAAACTTTGGCTTAAAGCAGTAGTGAGAAATTTCAAAATCGTCGTTAACAAAATTTGTTTTTACATTTTGTTTTCATAATTATGAGTGAAAAAATAGTATTAAACTCCAAAATATGAAAACACGAAAACAATTCCGACAAAAGTAACAGATGAAGATTATTGTGACATCCCCTACAGCGCACGAACATGATATCATGATCATATACGTCTTTAGGTACAGATGGATACATTCCATCCAAAGGATGTAGGCTAAACAAGATTTCATATTATTCATATTAAAAGCTATCAGGTTCAACACTTTCAAACAGATTTGTTTTACAATTTTGATTTATGAAGTCACCAACAGTGTAGCTTGGTGATCTAAACAGGCAATTATGATAAAGATTTGACTTGCACATCAGAGCATTCCAATGAAACTTTTGTTCGATGTCTAGCCTCACATTTTTTAATACAGTTTAGAACTTACAATAAATTGGCAGTCGTTTCGTGTCAAAACAATACTCCATCATGCCTTTAATTGCATTTGAGGAGCGCACTTGACTTAAAATTTGCAGAAAGTGCAAGATATACCCTACTGATTCCATTGATTTTCTTTCATTATTCGTAATATTCAACAAAAATCCCATACCTTTAAGCCTATGTTTGATGCGAAAATTAACCATTAGTTTAAAATATTTTAAAAGTTAGAATTATGGATCGGAACATTAATACTACTTTCTGGTATATTCCTTTAGATCGGACCCTCTATTGGTGCTTCTATATCAGTTCAGTCAATTGCTTCTCTTTCTGTTCGTGATGTACATTGTGCTACCTGGCTGTTTTTAACGGTTTTTATTTTTGCATTTGTATGAAACATTGACCCCTGTTTTACTAAGCTGACCTTAGGAGTATTTGGCTTTTCCTTTTAGGTCCCTTTTGGCTATTCTTTGTAGGTCCCTTTTTGGCTATTCTTTGTAGGTCACTTCTTGGCTATTCTTTGTAGGTCACTTCTTGGCTATTCTTTGTAGGTCCCTTTTTGACTATTCTTTGTAGGTCACTTCTTGGCTATTCTTTGTAGGTCACTTCTTGGCTATTCTTTGTAGGTCACTTCTTGGCTATTCTTTGTAGGTCACTTCTTGACTATTCTTTGTAGGTGCCTTTTTGGCTATTCTTTGTAGGTCACTTTTTGGCTATTCTTTGTAGGTCACTTTTTGGCTATTCTTTGTAGGTCACTTTTTGGCTATTCTTTGTAGGTCACTTTTTGGCTAATCTTCTGATGTCCCTTTTAACCATACAGCTCCTCATGTATTCTAGCATCTAAACATCTTTGGCTTTTAATTTTTTAAGTTTGGGCGTAAATCGAGAAAAGGTCACTGGACGCACCAAAATAAATAAGTTGTATTTTCATATTACAGAAATTGTTTATTTACTTACCCACAAACATATGGAATAAAATCTTTAACTACATTCAAAGTAGCTTGTTTTCCGCCAATTGTTGTGTTTTTACCAATAATGCGTAAATAGAGTTCACCGCCAATGTGCACACCACAATACATCATAACCGAGGTAAAGTGCGAATTCTCAATCCATTTAGATTTTGCGTTAAAGCAGTCTGTAGTAAGAAGTTGTTTCTCCACATTTGCAAAGGTTTGTGCTAAATTGGGACTGCATCTCTGTAGCTGTATGCGAACACACATATCCACACTTCTTATTGCTCTACAAAATGTATATGTAAATCTTTTAATAAAACGTTAACAGACCTTTATGATCCTTTATAAGTACAAAAACAAATGTGCATCTTTATATAATTGCGACCTATGTCTAAACCATGTGGTCTAAACAAATAGATATTCAGAATGCATGGCTATTCTTTGAAAAACGTGATATATGAATGAACGCATTACGGTCATATTAAAGGAAGTCAATATTAAAACTATCAAGTATCCGATATCCTTCACAAAGTTCATCAAAGTTAAATGCTATTTTTTTCTCTCTGTGTTCAAACGAAAAGTGGTTTCTTTCTTTCTTAGAAACTCAGCAATTTGAGTGCTCAATACGCATGTTTCTTGAATAATCATCATCACGTACCCTTTAAGCTAAAAGATTTACAAAGGACATTTATACAACGTTTGTGAGCATAAAAATAAACAGGGTGTAGACGATAGATCTTGATTGAATCATCGACGGTTAAATTTGTCCGAGAGAGTTACCATATTTTTTAGTACAATTTAATAAATTATAAACTGATTGTCAAAATCGATTTGACTAAGTATTAGTGGCAAACGCAGTGGTAGTTGGCAGTTTAATATTCCCAACATGATTTCCCTACCAGAATTAAATGTGTTTGTCTGTGAAAAATCAGTATAAGTATCCGATTGTGACTGAATCAATATATTCCTCTACTTGAATTCAAAATATACATGTAATGTATGCATTCGCAATTGAAATTTTAAAATGTCAAAACGTTTTTATGAAGTGTAGATTGAAAAGTACAGCTTTGCATTTTACTTACGAGCAGATGTCTGACACGTCTCCTGGTTCAACAGTAGTTGGTAGGGTGTAATTGCGTTGCGAATAATATTGGTTCCTGTCTTTGTTTCTTTTTTTGAGATTCGTTAAATGTAAACTCATTGTTCCGCCACAAAATACCAAACCTATTACAGTGTCACGTTCTTTCAAACATGCTTCTTCTGGTCGACTAATTGCTTTAAAAAAAATAAAAGAGGAAAGTCTACAATAACAGCTTTACATTTTGTCATGAACAGCGATCAACTTGTTATTTGAGTGTTGAAATATACTGGTTTTACTTCTCGTACATAATGGCAAGAGTGTCGGATTATTTTGCTGCATCTCTTATGAGTTACTTGGGTTCAAATTCATTATTTAGAAGTCTGTAAAACTTTATTATCTTTGACTGTTAATACGCCATTGTTACTCTGTGGCTTTCTGATACTACCTTTGTTATGCTACTTCTATGTTATGTGTCAATTTTTTAAAGTAAAAAAAACTAAAAACAAAAGGATTTTAATGAGTATGATTTTTGAAACTGCCAAATTTAGGTAGAACTATCGGAGGTTCTCTATATCAAGTGTCTGGAGAATAAATTACGTCACCACTTACATAGAAACCAGCGCTCTCGACCCCATTTTATAAAACCTCCATAGATTAATTTAGAAATTATTAAGATATAGCTTCCAACTCCTTTTAGCAAAGTTGACCTAAGGTAAATTTGGCTATTCTTTTTAGTTCCCCTCAAGTTTGGTCATATTGTTCCTAAAGTAATCAAGTATTTATACATCATTGGATTGGATTTGGATTAGGTCGTTCATGACGAAGGTAAATCTAGTGAAGCGCATCGGACGCACCAAATTTATAAAGACACTAGAAGATCTTGTAAAACAGTCACATGACAATCTCATCACTAAAAGATCACAAGGGATCTTGTAAAACACAAACATCCCATATTATGCATTTTAAGATTATATCTTTTATATAAAATTGGTAATTGATATTTCTTGCAAAGGCTTTTCCAAGACTCACTAGGACTTCAAATTTGTATCTTCAACAAATATCTTACTCAGGAAAAATGAATTAAGGGTACAATAAATCATGTGCATACTGAAGTTCAAACTTTATGCGTTTTAAAGTCTGCGTTCATAATCCTTTGATTGTAGCCGCAAGTTCTAAACAAGCTGTACAGTAATAAGATTGAGAATGGAAATGGGGAATGTGTCAAAGAGACAAGAACCCGACCAAAGAGTAGAAAACAGCACAAGGCCACCAATGGGTTTCAAAACAGCGATTTTAGTAAACATTGTGGGTGAAACTTTGTAAGTTCGACACCATTTTTTCTTCTTTCCGTTTTTTGATAAATTTTTTTATACTTTTCGTTTTCAACTTTCTGTTTGTTTTATCAATCTTTAGAAAAGTTTTTGATAAAATAATTGCAGATAAAAAATTATTTGGGAATACGAATTTCAAGGCATGCAATTTCAATATAAGTATTTTCATTTTCTTTTAAAACTAGTATTTAAAGAATTCATTATTTACTGCTCTAATTTTCATCTATGTGTCAAAGGTAAACTATTTTATCTTTTTGTAATTTTCAAGTGCAAATTCAGAAACTCAGCGGAGGTATAAATAAAGAAGTGTGATTTTTTTCCGCTCGTTTTTTCTTTGAAATTTTGTTTTGTTCCTGTGTCCTCAAACGTTTTTTGTTTGATATTAGTTCATTCTTGTTTCGGCGATAGAAGATATATAGAAGCATCGATAGTAGTATATGTTGTTCGTGTGTGTGTTATATTATTATTGTTATTTTCTATAAGTAGTATAGGGGTAAATTCAAGATAAGATCTGCTTTCATTAGTTTTGAAACATTAAATATCAGTATGAAAAAAGAGCGTAAAAGAGTAAAACTTACAAACTACTTACGTAATTCACAAAAATGATTTAATGCTGAACCAATCGAGTTTGGGTTCAAATATCTGGCAATTATCGAATCAATCTCACTGAAAGGTTTCACAAATCGATCTTGGACACACGAAGCAAATGCAGTTCGATTGCTAAAACATAAGATTATTTAAAAAAAAGAACGTACAAGTTAAATTCCTAATTATCAATATGATAGTAATAGTAAATTATTATGTTTCAAAATTTGCAATAGCAGTATCCGTTGAAAAGAACGCAAAAAAGGATTTGCAACAAGATAAACTTAAACACGAAATCACACAATAAGTGGTATTTACAATAGATAGACATTATGAAGTTGACGTCTTTGATACATAATATTTTATGAACACTCATATCTTTTAAGCTTTAATCTCTTAATATGACAGTTGTTTTCCGTTCGTTTGATGTGTTTGAGCTTTTGATTTTGACATTTGATAAGGGAATTTCCGATTTAAATTTTCCTAGGAGTTCGGAATTTTTTTTTTTTTTTTTTTTTTTTACAATATAAAGTATGGAACAACAGCAAATAAGCATTGAAGCATTTAAAACAAAGGCATTAATTTCAGTTACTAACTCGAGTGTTGCGTGTATTCATTTGACAAAATACTACTTCAGTGTTTTACCTGCAAAAAGACTTGGTGTTAAACGATTCAGCAATGATCCTTGCAATAGCTGCAAGATTATTTGACGAATTACGAAATTCTGCACCTACACCATTCAAAGTGCTGTGAAAGGACTCCAAGGCACAAATAAGTATAACGGAATCTATATAACTGTAATATCAAATGCATAATAATGTGAATAAAAGACACAAGTGACTAGAAAGATTTCTCTTATTACAACCTGTCATGATATCTACTGTTTTGAAACATTTTAGTGTGGTTTCGCATGGCGCTTGATTCACGAATAGCAGTAGGCGCTTTCTCTGTAAACGCACCAAGTCTGGCTCCATTTGGAGTTTATACAATTCCCTCACTTTTTGTTTTTATCTTGAATTGTATTCTTATTCGATTTATGATATTTGTACATCAGTAAACTTCTGTTGCCTATAATTTGACATACAGACGCGCCTTTAAGTGATAACAAATATAGTTTTTATCGTAACTAACCTTGATTTTGTTTTTTGATAAATCAAAATAAAACTGAAAATGTATCGCTTTGAATTTATGAAAACTTTTTATCGATATTATAACTTGTGTTTTGGCATTGTACAAGGTAAAAACTAAATGTTTCTGCACATTCCTTGTACTTTTAACAAAGTACCGGTTAAACATGTGTCATATATATCAACTCGAAACACTGCAAACCCTGTTCCCGCTTGCTATTTTTTGTGCATCCAAAATCATGGTTACCTCAATTTATGGAACTGAACCGAAATAAGCCATGTATCTTCTATGTTAAACCATTTTCTTAACAATCAAACCAAATTATTTTTAAACTTCTTAATGCTTATAATTACAATTTTCTTTCTTGACTACACGAACATCATTAAGGACAAAACAAACAGCAACTAGGATATTTGAAACATTAAAAACTTGCATATACAGTATAAGAAATCCTGTTGAAATATACTTGAAGTATTATACATATATGATTATCAATAAATATAAAACAGGTTTTGTTAATTGCATCTATGTTAAAAAAATGTAACATGTGACCATATTCTAACTTTAGAGAAATCCATCACTCATTGATTACTGTGGATTCATTTATTTTCGTGGGTATCAATTTTCGTGGAAAGAGAAAAAAAGACGTTTCGTGGTAAACGTAAATTCGTGGATCGCTGATTACGAAAAAAAAAATCAGATACGTAATTCGTGGATTTCTTTTTGATTTAGGAGATCATATATTGGTTTGATCAATAATAAAACGAACAAAAAAGAAGGAATTCATTGAAAAAGTTTTGAATTGTCAAAATTCTAGATTAAAGTGTTCATTGAAAACTTCTATTACAATAATGGACAGAGACAACTAATTATTTGTTTGTTTTACAATTTATAAATTCTTGTCGGAATTTTATAAGGCATTTAAAACTCTATGATTGAAAGCTCATTCCCTAAGTCTAGGTTAGTCTATGGAAAGGTATATACTATGAAATTTAGAGCGAGGGGCTTGCCCCGAGCTCTTAATTTCATAGTATATATCTTTCCATAGACTATCCAATTTAGCACATATTTACAACTCGAGTAATCTTTTAATTGGTCTATTGATAGTTTATTTTGGCTGACTACTTGTATCACAGGTGTTTGTAAAAAGGAGCTCATTAACGAAGTTTTGTAAATCTACTCACTAGTATTATTGTAAAATATGTGATTTCAAAAGGCCCTTCACTCCAGAATGAAAAGATGGTAGCTGCTGGTGTAAGTATGTATACTGATATAAAGCGGTGTTTTACTATACATGTTCTTCTTACATGGCAAGATGACAAAATAAATTGACCAAAAGCAGGCAATAATTAAATTGCAGTGGAAGCTTTACATGTTTTGAAAACATTTTTTAATTTCACAGTAAAACTAAAGCTATAATAAATTTGAAACATAGAGATAGTTTGTCCCCATAGATATAGTCTAGCAGATAGGCATTAAAAAGCAACTACCAATAGATCAGAGATTATAGGTTTTGTGTTTTGTGTTTTCTTTTTTTTATTATTTCAAAGTAAAAACTAAAAGATTTATCAGAATATGTTTATATATGTATATAGGTGGCACATTATGTTCAGACATAATCACAGTTTTTCAATTCATGACATCGTCCTGAACATGCATGAAATATTTGCCACTGGACATTAAGCAACCAATAATCAATAAATCAATCAATTCATGACGAAATAGATCACCTTCCTTAAAGAAAGTTTATCACCAAGTTGCTTTAATTTTCCTGCACAAGGTTTCATAGTACACACTTTTCTGTGTACAAAGTAATTGCATGGATGATACATTATCATAATTTTAAGATATCGTTGTACTCTAATCAAGGTATAAAGAACCATATGTATTACCCTTTATTTAAATGATAAAATTTGCAATTGTCAAAAACAATTTTTAGATCCAAAGATTTTAATAGCAGGATATTTAAAAATCAACGTGAAAACTAATTACAAACTATTTAATTTAATTTGGAACACAGCATTTTATTTCAAAATAGCCAGTGGCAATTTTTGTTTTAAATATCTTGATTACGATACAATGAAATCTTACCCTTGTGGTCATTCATGCGTAGTTACTTCGTACACAGGAAAAGTATGTACTATGAAAATTAGAAGGCAAATATAAGCAATTTGATTGGACGAGAAGTTGTAAGTATGTGCTAATCACGATATAATAAACAGTCATATAAGTAAAAGGTGTGAAAATAAATGTTCCTGTCATAAACAATATTACCTACGGGCAATATCCCCGTACTTAATCCTATTGATTTTTAATCACCAGTAAACCAAACTATGACACGGTAATTAACAACTTGCAGTTATTTTCCATGAACAGTTTTAATCAATTTTAAAAAGTAAATTATCACTGATATTCGTATATTTATTATTGATTTAATCAAAATACTTGTATCTTTTTTAATTAAAAACACGTGTTCTGTTACAATATTTATCGCTAGTCAACACTATACTAGAACTGCATAACATAACCGGAAATAAACATCCGACTCCATACAAATTTCTCGGGATTATTCTTCGTTGAATTCTTAAATAATTCGTGGTTCGCTGTGACCCACGAAACCCACGAAAATTGGTATACAACGAATAAAAATGAATCCACAGTAATTTACCCGAGTAAAACAAATATCTTCTAAGTTGACGAAAATACATGTATCAACTAAAAAAAACGGCCTGTGATGTTGTATTTATTCAATATAAATAATATATTTTCAATCTGTTAAATATAACACTGAACTAATCATAATAAATTGATTTCTGACAAAAATTTAGCATTGTTCCTATTGAAATTTGCTATTTTTTGTGTTTGTTTAGTTATAGAATACATTTATATAAGAAGGCCTTAATTTAAACATCGTCATTTTCGAGATTTTATTTGTCAAACACACAAAAAGACAAATTTCAATAGGAACAATATTGAAAATTTTGTCAGAAATCAACTTTTAATGTTTGAATCAGTGTTTGCATTGAACAGATTGAAAATATATTATTGATATTGAATGAATACAACATCATAGTGTGTGAGTTAATATATATGTATTTTCATCAAGTTAGAAGATCATTTTTTTACTCAGGTTAATTAATTAATCAATGAGTGATGGATTTCTCTTAGAAGAAATTTAAAGGTACCAGTGAATAAACTACACAGAGAATAATAGCTATTGTATTTATTCAATGGGACAATAGAACAGACAAAAGTTTAAATACCTTGACCAAGAGCAAATGACTCTGTGGAAAACTTTCATTTGGTTCGCAATAGCTAAAGGGTACCGAGAGGTTTTTTTGCGATGCTTTAAATTCATAGGAATTTATTTGAAATATTTCACGTTCATTTTTCATTCTTTATCATTTCAAATTTCACTATGATTACATATTCATTTCATCAAGATTTAAAAAAAATAGAAAAAGATAATTCTAAACAAAAGACAGCGATTATCACGGCAAGGCACTTTACCTAGGGAAGACATCGGAAGTAGTCACAGTTCTTTACCTCTTACTTGTATTTACAGAATCTTTGATGGTTTCATTCCAATAAAAATCTGAACCTTCTCTTGAAAATAAAGTTTTCTTACCTCTTGTCCGTATCAGTTGCCATTGTCGGGTTTGTAAAACTGAAATACACAAATAAGAAATAACTGTATAATCTATAATTCATAGAGAACTAGATGCTGTTAATTGAAATGAAAAGGTTAACACGATTTTCTTTTTTCTACATTTCTTACTTTAGTGAATAATTTGAATTTGCCTAAACAAAAGAAATATGTCAATCAGATGAATTTTTCCATACTTTATGTATAACCGGTTGCGATGATAGTTTCTTTTTCTCAGAAATAGTATACCAAAATTGAAAGTACAGATTCTGTTTATAAAATAATCGTTTTATGACAGGAAACAACATTCAAATACTCATTGAATACTTCTGGTTTCGACTTAACTGGAAAAGTCGACTTAACATGGATTTGACCATGCTTTTTTTTGTAATATAGCTCCTCATCCGTTCAAGAATTTATACATCCTCGGCTTTCATTTTTTGGGGGTTAAATTCAGAAAAACTTAACTATAAAAATAAGGTAGAAGGTTAATCCAAAATAGTGATTCGAACGCACCAAATTTAAAATGTGTTATTTTAACACAAACAATGAGAGAGGACACATCATATTTACTACTTGTGAAAAAGTATAAAGTTTTAGTTGCTTGTAATGTTTTTTAATCTTTGACCAGGTTCTGGTATAAATGACATTTTAAAAAGTGAAACTTTCATATTCTAAAGAGGGAACACCTGATGGAATATTGGCACTGTATGCAAGTATTCGGCATATAAGGTTATTGTTAAGATCATTTTTTTTTGTTATTTATTTCCCAAAAATACTGCATTTTATATTTTTTTCTGTTTTTGTTTATAGTAAAAGTTGCTCAAATTATTTTTTACATGTTAGAAAGGCGTAGGTAACTGCTAGGAGATTATTTGAAATATTGACGCAGATTATCCATTTTCTTTTTTTTTTAAAGTTCACGATGTTCACATATAAAAGAAATTATGCAGGACTCTCAATGAAATTTCTACACAAAATCACAGAAAGACAGAAATTACGTTATGCCACATTTATCTACGATGAATACTGGGAAGGAAAATATCTGGAGGCAACCACAAATGTTTTAATTTTGATATATGTTACAGAATGGTTTCTCTATAATATCAACAAAAGATTCTCACGAAAATCAAGTTTTCTTACCCTGCGTTCATATCAAGTGACATGGTCCGATTCGTGAAACTGAAATACACAGATAACCGTTCAGTATATTATCCTGCATAGTAAAATCGATGGTGTAAATCGGTAAGAAAAAGGTAAACACGTTTTTCTATTTTCTTCACTAAATGAATAAATTTCAGTTTTATAGCTTACAAAAACATGTTCATTCAGATGATATTTTTTTCGCGCAATCAGTTGTATTAAGCAGTTGTTATGGAAAAAACAACGATTAAGAGTTCTTTCCTAAATAGTTTACAAAAACTTTGAGAAGGAGCTAAATTTCTGTTTAAGCATTTTATGACTGGAGATAACAATACAATTATTACGTATTTCTTTTGTGTAAACGGTATACAATATGTGTCTCTTCTAAACCAAATTCGGTAACTGTCGCAACTAAGGACATAGAATTATTTTATGTGCAAGAGTCTACAATGGTAGTTGCTCGTTATTTTTTTTTTTTACCTTTGACAATATGTTGGAATAAATATTAGCTCATTTGTTAAATAAAACTCAAGCACAGACACAGGACATAGATCGGGTGTAGTATATTGCCTTAAACATAGTTCTTGGGACGCCATGGCCCTGAAAAAAGAAAAAATCAGATGTATATATTTGAAACAGTTTTGATGATGATTTTGATTTTTTGGAGAAATAACAATGTTTTTTGGAGATATTGTTTTTTTTTCACCAATATCCCTGTTCTTGAGGTTGCTTTATTTCGTTGAAGTCGCCATCATTAATCACGCTGTTTTTATTTAACAGCGGAACAATCAGTGTCATAATAAAATTAAGAATGGAAACCGGCAATGTGTCAAAGAGACAACAACCTGCAACCTCGCAAACAGTTGCAGACTTTTGTTGGTTTTTTTTAATTAGTTTTTCTGTGATATATCTTTGATAACCCTTGTTGAATTGACTGACGACTTGGCTTGACTCATGTAGTTATTGACACTAGCCAACCATTGTGTTTACCTTTAAATTTCTCTATGTTTGGTCAAATTGTGTTTTGGGGCTATTGAGTTACTGTGTAGTAGCTGCTTACCATATTAAAACTGCCTTTTCTTCGTATGCAATAGCACCAAAATTGAGTGCCGTTACAATTACATTAATTGGAGAGATATGCTGTTAAAGGATGAATTCACTTCACTAATACAAGTATTTTCTAATGCGATCTCAATTTTCAGTATTATTGTACGATACCTAAGCATTACTTACCGGCACAAATTATCAAGTGTTAAGCTTGGCTGCATCAGATGTGAGATGTATTGCGATAAACAACTCTTCACGTTTGTGTTGTTTGAAGCTGAGTTCAAACACTCAAGATCATTAGCCACGCCTGTTTTAAAATACAGAAAATAAAGAACTTGGAAAATATGATTAGAATTTAATGGCAGTATTGAAGTCATTCTTATGTTTTCAACAAAACAGCACTACTGAAATTGCGACGATGCTAATTTCAAGTGCAGGAATTGACAATGACGCAATTTACATTGATCGAAATTACATTTGAGCAGAGATTGACATAGCTTTTTTTTTTGTTTGTTTCTGTTTGTTGTTAATCATTTTAGTTTTTTTCACTTTGATGTATTGCTGAATTTGTTTTACCCGATACTACTGGCTTAAATGATAAATTAACAGAAACATGTCCATCGTAAGAAAATGTATCATCTTATTCGTGTTTGTGCTTCCATTGTTTAAGTCGACGGATATGGTCACCCTGCAAACATTTTTTACTTGAACACTTAATTTATAAGCACACATTACCTGGAAGCAAATCACAAACATTTTTCATTCTTGATCTAACAAGTTCTTTGTCGAAATTGTCTGCTAGTATCCTGAAGAGTGGGCTGGTACTGTTACGGAGTGTGTTCCGATTACGATCCAAACAGTCAGTAAATTCGTTTATAATACTAAGAGATAACAATACAAATTAGACTTTTTATAATCACATACAATATAATGCTCTGATTGTGAATATACTTTTTTTGGCAATATATACATTTAGCATTCCTAGATTGAATATAAGCAATGAAAATCTTTTTAAAAAATTGTTTTAAAGATTTTTTTTCCATCAAAATACTAAACTTTGTGGTAAATGTTGCCTTTGATTTGGACAATTTAGCTGGTTGTAAATTTATAAATTCGTGCAGTTTTGACAATATGCGAAAAAAATACAAAATCTCCCAAAGCAATAGAATATATGAATCCTTGAATTAGTTGTATAGCTTAACGAGCAGAAACATGATTTCATGAACTCAGTGATTATTATTTTCTTTTTTCAATTTTAGGGATTTATTCACATATTAGCATATGGTATTTTGTGGATACGTCAGTTAAGAAAGTAGCTTTCTTTTTCTGACCAAAAAAGGACCGGTTTGAGTATTTTTTAGTTAAACAAAAATATAGTTACATCAAATACTAATTTATCTAAAATGCAGTTAGAATCAGTTCTTAAAAGAGAGGCGAAAGATACCAAAGGGACATACCCTTATTATCCTTCTTTAGAACTGTCAGAATAATCTGTCAAAGAAACTGTTCTAAACTTTTTTTTACCAGATCTACCCTTGGATCGTTCAAGGGTAGAACTGCCAGAATCAGATATAGGGGGTAGAATTGTCCAAAACGGTTCAGGGTAGAACTGTCAGAATCTGTTCTAAGATAAAATTGTAAGGATCTGTTCTATGGTAGAACTTTCAAAAAGGGTTCTAGGCTAGAACTGTCCAAAACCGTTCTAGGGTAGAACCACCTCTGTGAGAAACTATTCTTACAGGTATCAGGAAAACTGTCCAGACAGATTTATTGAGAGGTTAGAACTGGTCAAAACTGTACATTAAATCGTTAGCTTGAAATGTCATAATAACCATGCGGTGTTGATACACAAACCGAATTTTCATAATTCACATTTTGACAATATCTGGCTAATAAATTAACAGGAAATTTTATTTAAATTCTGAAAATCTTCTGAAAAACTACAGCTCTTAAATCGGAATAAAGAAAACATTGCCACTTGAACAACTGCCATCGTAAGTGGTCATAAAAATAATCACGCCACTGCATTTACTAAAATAACGCAAATCCAAAATTACACAGAAGACTAATGCCTGAATAGTAGTTGATCTGAATTAACTCTATAAGGGTAAGTTGTTACTGCACAACACATGAAACTCGTCTTGAGTTAAAGAATTAAAACGAAGACAATACTTACTGGCAATAGATATTAAAGATTTTTGCTACTGATTGTGGTGGATATGTAACATTACGCTGGGTGTTGTTGATTATAATTGACTGACATTCTTGGGGTAATACTGTGGCATCCGCTGGAGGAGCGGCACTAGCAGGTGTGACGTATGCGGTCTTTGGTAAAACCGTGTTTGATTGTGCTTTGACCATTCCAAGCAGACATACTACTAGCAGTATGGGATTCATCGTCAAAAACTGTAATTGAAAGCAATGATAATTAGTTTGGCCATTTTGTTCGTTACATATTTTTTTTATCAAATGATCTATATATGTATTAAACATATCATCTGATACAAAAACTTAATAACACTTTTAGAAATTTGGATGATATATTGGCTCTCAATAATGACGACTTCAGTATGTACACTAAAGAGATTTATCCTGCTGGACTGAATTTAAATAAAGCTAATACTAACAATGAACACTGCCCTTTCCTGGATCTTGATATCTATTTCTTTAACGGGAAGCTTAATACCAAAATTTATGATAAAAGAGATGATTTTTCATGTCCTATTGTTAATTATCCATTTTTAGATGGTGACGTTCCCTTGTCACCACCTTATTGTGTTTATATATCTCAACTGTTCGATTCGCTCGTGTATATAACAACGTATTTGATTTTAACGAAAGAAACCTCTATATTACTGAAAAATTATTACAAACTAGTCAAAACATTTACTAAATTTTATCATCGGTACAAGGACATCATTCGTAAATATAAATCAACATGCAGACATCTTAAACGTTCAGGTATTTCACATCCAATCTTTTATGGTAATATTCTATACAAAGCACAAACATGTCGACATTCACCTCAAAAGCTAACCAAACCTTTAAACAGACTTATTCAGAAGGGATATATTTACGATACGGTTGTCAGGTCATTAAAGATGGCATATTTTGGTATTAATATTTATTCACTCATAGGGTCTTTGCATCGGAAATAAACACATTAATTCTAAAACCAGTTGTTGGCATGATACGGGTTATTTTCTTCTCATATATTTTATGATGGTATGATACTAAACCACTAACGGGAGGGATTGCACTTGATTTTTATATGATAAAGACATAATCTTTCAATCAGTTTAATTGAGGTCTGGAGCTGGCATGTCAGTAACTGCTAGTAGTCCTTTGTTAATTTATGTATCATTGTCATTTTTCTTAGTTTCTTTTGTTACCTATTCTGACATCGGACTCGGACTTCTTTTAAACTGAGTTTTTCTGAGCGTATTGCTGTGTGTTTGTTTATTCTACATTGGCTAGGGGTATAGGGGAGGGTTGAGATCTAACAAAGCATGTTTAACCCCGCCGCATTTTTGCGCCTGTCCCAAGTCAGGAGCCTCTGGCCTTTGTTAGTCTTGTATGTTTTTTAATTTAAGTTCATTTATATGTTTTGGTGTTTAGTGTGACGTCCATTTTCATTGAACTTTTCTAACTGTTCTAAACTTTTTTTTACCAGATCTACCCTTGGATCGTTCAAGGGTAGAACTGCCAGAATCAGATATAGGGGGTAGAATTGTCCAAAACGGTTCAGGGTAGAACTGTCAGAATCTGTTCTAAGATAAAATTGTAAGGATCTGTTCTATGGTAGAACTTTCAAAAAGGGTTCTAGGCTAGAACTGTCCAAAACCGTTCTAGGGTAGAACCACCTCTGTGAGAAACTATTCTTACAGGTATCAGGAAAACTGTCCAGACAGATTTATTGAGAGGTTAGAACTGGTCAAAACTGTACATTAAATCGTTAGCTTGAAATGTCATAATAACCATGCGGTGTTGATACACAAACCGAATTTTCATAATTCACATTTTGACAATATCTGGCTAATAAATTAACAGGAAATTTTATTTAAATTCTGAAAATCTTCTGAAAAACTACAGCTCTTAAATCGGAATAAAGAAAACATTGCCACTTGAACAACTGCCATCGTAAGTGGTCATAAAAATAATCACGCCACTGCATTTACTAAAATAACGCAAATCCAAAATTACACAGAAGACTAATGCCTGAATAGTAGTTGATCTGAATTAACTCTATAAGGGTAAGTTGTTACTGCACAACACATGAAACTCGTCTTGAGTTAAAGAATTAAAACGAAGACAATACTTACTGGCAATAGATATACGTGTATATAACAACGTATTTGATTTTAACGAAAGAAACCTCTATATTACTGAAAAATTATTACAAACTAGTCAAAACATTTACTAAATTTTATCATCGGTACAAGGACATCATTCGTAAATATAAATCAACATGCAGACATCTTAAACGTTCAGGTATTTCACATCCAATCTTTTATGGTAATATTCTATACAAAGCACAAACATGTCGACATTCACCTCAAAAGCTAACCAAACCTTTAAACAGACTTATTCAGAAGGGATATATTTACGATACGGTTGTCAGGTCATTAAAGATGGCATATTTTGGTATTAATATTGATTCACTCATAGGGTCTTTGCATCGGAAATAAACACATTAATTCTAAAACCAGTTGTTGGCATGATACGGGTTATTTTCTTCTCATATATTTTATGATGGTATGATACTAAACCACTAACGGGAGGGATTGCACTTGATTTTTATATGATAAAGACATAATCTTTCAATCAGTTTAATTGAGGTCTGGAGCTGGCATGTCAGTAACTGCTAGTAGTCCTTTGTTAATTTATGTATCATTGTCATTTTTCTTAGTTTCTTTTGTTACCTATTCTGACATCGGACTCGGACTTCTTTTAAACTGAGTTTTTCTGAGCGTATTGCTGTGTGTTTGTTTATTCTACATTGGCTAGGGGTATAGGGGAGGGTTGAGATCTAACAAAGCATGTTTAACCCCGCCGCATTTTTGCGCCTGTCCCAAGTCAGGAGCCTCTGGCCTTTGTTAGTCTTGTATGTTTTTTAATTTAAGTTCATTTATATGTTTTGGTGTTTAGTGTGACGTCCATTTTCATTGAACTTTTCTAACTGTTCTAAACTTTTTTTTACCAGATCTACCCTTGGATCGTTCAAGGGTAGAACTGCCAGAATCAGATATAGGGGGTAGAATTGTCCAAAACGGTTCAGGGTAGAACTGTCAGAATCTGTTCTAAGATAAAATTGTAAGGATCTGTTCTATGGTAGAACTTTCAAAAAGGGTTCTAGGCTAGAACTGTCCAAAACCGTTCTAGGGTAGAACCACCTCTGTGAGAAACTATTCTTACAGGTATCAGGAAAACTGTCCAGACAGATTTATTGAGAGGTTAGAACTGGTCAAAACTGTACATTAAATCGTTAGCTTGAAATGTCATAATAACCATGCGGTGTTGATACACAAACCGAATTTTCATAATTCACATTTTGACAATATCTGGCTAATAAATTAACAGGAAATTTTATTTAAATTCTGAAAATCTTCTGAAAAACTACAGCTCTTAAATCGGAATAAAGAAAACATTGCCACTTGAACAACTGCCATCGTAAGTGGTCATAAAAATAATCACGCCACTGCATTTACTAAAATAACGCAAATCCAAAATTACACAGAAGACTAATGCCTGAATAGTAGTTGATCTGAATTAACTCTATAAGGGTAAGTTGTTACTGCACAACACATGAAACTCGTCTTGAGTTAAAGAATTAAAACGAAGACAATACTTACTGGCAAAAGATATACGTGTATATAACAACGTATTTGATTTTAACGAAAGAAACCTCTATATTACTGAAAAATTATTACAAACTAGTCAAAACATTTACTAAATTTTATCATCGGTACAAGGACATCATTCGTAAATATAAATCAACATGCAGACATCTTAAACGTTCAGGTATTTCACATCCAATCTTTTATGGTAATATTCTATACAAAGCACAAACATGTCGACATTCACCTCAAAAGCTAACCAAACCTTTAAACAGACTTATTCAGAAGGGATATATTTACGATACGGTTGTCAGGTCATTAAAGATGGCATATTTTGGTATTAATATTGATTCACTCATAGGGTCTTTGCATCGGAAATAAACACATTAATTCTAAAACCAGTTGTTGGCATGATACGGGTTATTTTCTTCTCATATATTTTATGATGGTATGATACTAAACCACTAACGGGAGGGATTGCACTTGATTTTTATATGATAAAGACATAATCTTTCAATCAGTTTAATTGAGGTCTGGAGCTGGCATGTCAGTAACTGCTAGTAGTCCTTTGTTAATTTATGTATCATTGTCATTTTTCTTAGTTTCTTTTGTTACCTATTCTGACATCGGACTCGGACTTCTTTTAAACTGAGTTTTTCTGAGCGTATTGCTGTGTGTTTGTTTATTCTACATTGGCTAGGGGTATAGGGGAGGGTTGAGATCTAACAAAGCATGTTTAACCCCGCCGCATTTTTGCGCCTGTCCCAAGTCAGGAGCCTCTGGCCTTTGTTAGTCTTGTATGTTTTTTAATTTAAGTTCATTTATATGTTTTGGTGTTTAGTGTGACGTCCATTTTCATTGAACAAGTACATATTTTTGTTTAGGGGCCAGTTGAAGCCCGCCTCCAGGTGCGGGATTTTCTCGCTGTGTTGAAGACCCATTGGTGGCCTTGGGCTGTTTTCTGCTCTTTGGTCGGGTTGTAGTCTCTTTGACACATTCCCCATTTCCATTCTCAATTTTATTAAAGTATATTTGTTCTGGATGCGAGTTTGTCTTTGTAAGAGCTTCTATTTGATTGTTAAAGTTCATACTATTTTGTAATAATTTTCGCTTCAAATCATGTATAGATCTTAAAATTCAGATATATCTTCATACATTTATTTGAATGTGTACCAAGGAACATAGAGAAAAATGAGAAATATAAGGAAACCTAAAAGTGTCCTTGAAAAGACCATGCATGTACTTTTACGAGTTGAATAACTTATATTGTTATTTCTATGAAATCAAGTAATGTCAAATGAATTTCTAATATGATACAAATTTCCAAGTATAACAACAAAAACAAATGATATAAAAAATTTCACAATATTACCTTATGGACAAATAATCCAGAGTATTATCTACACACAATTTTGTTTAGTCTTATCACCGGTCGGGAAATGTTTTTTGTTTTTGTCGGAAAGAACGTACATATATGAACAAGCAAAACATCCGTTGACATTGAGTGTGGTTATTACTGTAATCATTCGTTAAATTATAACTATAACATAAAGCTATTCCATGTAATTATATCCTTTTTGAAAAAGAAAGCACTTTAAACTGAACAAAATAAATACATAATACGTTAACAGAAACTAGGTGATCTTCCCTGAAAACTAGGTGATCTTCCCTGAATATCATTGTATGAAATATAGTACTCTCTTCTAACAGAAACTAGATATCGGTTTTGAATATAATTGGGTTTACTCTCTGTTAACATAGGCTAGGTGATCTTCTTTGAATATCATTGGATGAAGGTTATCTCCTTATTTTTATATTTAGTTCTCTCTTTTAATAGAGGCTAGATTCTCTTCCCTGAATATCACTGATTTAAGTTTACTCTCTGAAAATAGGAGCTAGTTTATCTTCTCTGAATATCATTGGGTTTACTCTCTGTTAACAGAAGCTAGATGATATTCTCTGGATATCATTGGGTAAAGTTTATTCTCTGTTAACAGAAGCTAGATGATATTCTCTGCATATTATTAGATTTACTCTCTGTTAACAGAAGCTAGATGATATTCTCTGGATATCATTGGGTTAAGTTTATTCTCTGTTTACAGGAGCTAGATGAACTGATCTGCATATCATTGGGTTGTTTTTACTATATGTTAACAGAAGCTAGGTGATCTTCTCTGGTTATCCTTGTGTTAAGTTTACAATCTGTTAACATAAGCTAGATGATCTTCGCTGGATATCATTGGGTTAAGTTTTACTCTCTGTAAACAGAAGCTAGATGACTTTTCTAAATATCATTGGTTTAAGAATACACTTTATTACTTTTTTGTTGACTTTTACCTCTGTAAACTATAATAAAGGCCTTAGAAATATTTTTAACAATCATAAATTTGTATTTTACTTTTTAACTGTGACAATGCAAAGGTGGTGGTATATTTTTTATTCTAATAATAATCGTTCTTACGTTTGTATAATTTATAGTTTTTAGGTGTAATACCACCAAATCATAGTACGTCACATCCGGTTGCATACGGAAATAGGTCGTAAAAAAAAAATTCCCTTGAATTTGATAGTGGTAGGTAATTGATCCTACATTTCATTGCAGTAAAACATTTCTGGGTCATAAACATATATCTTGGGTATTTCAAAGCACCATTATTTTTTTATTTTGGGGTTTCTATAGAATGTTTTGGAAACTTGAGGTTACATGGTTACTAAAGCTTGTACACAGGTTAAAAAAGGGGGAAAATTTGATTGGTTAACTTCAAGTGACGGTTATTTTCTTATATGCAATGAAATGTTATGTGAAATTTTTTCTATAGTACTGGACAGGATAAAACTTTACTCATGCCAAGTATTTCTTTATTTGAAACAAAGATAAATTCTGCACAATTTTTTGAAAAGTGCAAATTTAACAAAGACTAATAGGGGAAAATCAATGGTGGTATTACACCTTTAGCATGAAATAGAAAGGCATATCAGAATTTAATAAAAAAGTTGAACAGAATTTCAATATATATGTCAAAGTGTTATTGAAAACCATTAAATAGGATACACGGCCTTTTTAATATGTATTGCTCATTTATTGAGATCCTGGAGTGTGGCGAGAGTTTCTAAAGGGATAACATGTAAACAGCAAGTTTTTCATATATATAATTTGGGCTTAAAAGTTTAAAACATATAAAAAGGTTATATATCGATATTTAACTAACAGATCATAAGAAGGACTCCATAAATAAGTCAACATAGATCATGCGCTCCAAACGCATTTAAACCTGCTGCGACAGCAGGTTACCAATTATTGATCTTTTTTCCAATTGTATGAATATCCAGGGACAAAATAATTACAAAAAGAGCTAGACATGCGGTTAAAAAGTATAACAAAAATACCGAACTACAAGGCAGATTCAATCAACGGGATAGAAATCACTCATGGAAAGATTAGAAGAGTAGTTTTAATGATTTCAAATTATATTTATTTAAGTATGGGGTGGACAAAAAAGAACAGTAATATAGCACTATTGACCACAGACAATTGCACTAAATTTAGGTCTTTAGGAGGACTTAGTAGATAAATGAGAAAAATGTGAACCAATGACAGCAGGTCCCTTAACTTGCATAATATTTTTTTTTAAATTGCAATTTCATATCTTAACCAAATAATGTTCCCTGTCACATGTTTCACCTTTTACGTTTTAGCTTTAGAAACAAAAGAAATTACCAAATAAAGATTCTTCTAATAAAGCTTATTAATTATCCTTGTAGGACATGGGACCATAGATATACCTTTATTGTCTCCAAAAATTTATCTTTAAAGGTTGTTTTGGGGGCATTCGTAAGTTGAAACATAGGTTTACTATTTTTCTCCTCAAAGAATTGCTTATTGATTTTGAAAACAATTATCATGATTATATGACACTAAAGATTAAAAGTCATAGGGTGTATTTTAATTCAATTTATAATTCAATATTTTCCAGAAAAGGGCATTGAAAATGTACCTTTTTCAACATACACAAATTTATAAATTATTTTATTGAAAGCGGTTTTCATTCTGTATGGTAAAAATACGCTTTCTGTGTTCTAATGACTAATATTGTTAAAAAAATTGGATGGGAAATAAACTATAAAAAAATGTTTGCTCAAGATTAGAGTTTTGAAATTTTACTTATTGTTTCAAGCCAATCACAGATACATGTAACCTAAACTGTTGATTAATTACAGATAATTATTGCACAGATCTATCAAGTAAAATCAAGACCTTATTTTCACACATTTTTTATATTTAAATTTAATATTTTGTCTTCTCTTTTGAAAAAAAAAATATCTTGTTAATCCTTAATCGTTATAAGCAATGCATAAATCTATCATTTATATAAATCAAAATATAATATTATACATTTGTGTATTCAATAGTGAGGTCAAGTAATTGTGTATTAGGATGCATAATGAAGGGTCTGCTAAATTATGTAAAACTGAGTTTGATTAGTAATTTGGTCAATTTGATTGGCATTTAAGGAGGTGCGACATTCTAATTAAGGCCCCACCTTGTCTCTGATTGTTTAATGATAATGGCAGTTGTCAATCATTTTGGTAATGTATCATTACTCTTATCTAATTAAAATGACATAATTAACCCGCAAATTGACAAAACTAAAGAGATAAAGGGAAATGGGGAATGTGTCAAGACACAACAACCTTCGGCGACCAAAGAGCAAAAAACAGCACAAGGCCACCAATGGGTCTTCAACACAGCGAGAAAATCCCGCACCCGGAGGCGGGCTTCAATTGTATATACATCTATACTTGAATGAACTGCTCCAAAGATATAACCCAATTTTTTCACAGTTCATATGTGCATATGTACACAGACATGAGAATTATAGGGAACTATATTTCAGCTGGGACTATTATACTAATATAATAGTCCCAGATTTCAGTGTGTAAACATTTTGTAGATTTAGTAGCTAACCTGTGCTACTTCTTGTTTTGGAGGCCGGTGCCTTAAGAAAGACTTCGAACTGTGCTACTTCTTGTTTTGGAGGCCGATGCCCTAGGAAAGATTTGGAACTAAAATTCCAATCCTTCCAAAAAGAGGAAATATCTTTGTACAAAATGCGAGACGTTAAAAAAAGTTTGAATTGAATTGATTTAGTGTTTGTTGTTTTAACCTAGTCAATTACCTTTATGGACAAAGATGTGACTCTGAACTGATGCATGCAGAGAGTTATCAATCAATAATATAATTTGATTGGTAAAAGTGTATAAAGTTGTAACACTTCATTGGGAGAACTCCATCTAGTACATCTAATCTTATAAACATCATATTACATTCGAAACAAAAGGTGGCATTATATTTTAACATAGAAAGCTAATTTTGAGATTAAGTTTGAGCTTGTGTAATTAAATACAAATATATTTTGGAAAGTCGTTTGCGTATGTAATTTAACTGTGCATTTAATTTTTTGCAAGTTGATTTATGAATTTTTGGTATAAGTAAGCAAGATTGGATTTTCTTTCTTTTATACCATTTCTGCTGATTCGCTAGATTTAAATGCTTGTGCAATGACTTCTTATGTAAATGCTTTATTTTTCATACTGACGAGCATCATACAAAGACAACATTTTGTTTTATACTAAAAACTGCGCACCTGGTACCTGAAAATTTCAAGGTCTATTGTCTTCTGTCGCCATTCAAGCCGAAAATTCAACTGTTTTCGCGTCTGTATAACAAATTATAAGCCTTGTATCTTTGATTACTATTAATAATCAATGGGTCGAAGTTATCGATAGTATCACCGAATTATAGTTATCTCGTACCATTGTAAACTCGTACCAATGTCAACTCGTACCACTAAAAAAAACTCGTACCAATGCAAACTCGTACCAATGCTAACTCGTACCACGGTAAATTCATACCATTGTAAACTCGTACCAACTTATTTAAATGTATTCAAATGGTGTTTAATGATGAATATATAGTTTAATTTCACTCAATACCTCTTAAGTCTGTAAAATGTATATAATCTGAAATTACACTGACCAATTTATGCTAATTTTCCTTGTCTAATTGGATAGAGAAAACCGTGGCAGATTGGCTTTGTTGTCTCCCTTGAACAGACCCTTTTTTTTACTTTTACTGACAACTATTTGATTTAATTTTTAATCATTCCAAATAAGTAACATTGAATAGATTTGGGTATTTTTCTATTGTTTCTAAAAGGAATTTTATTTAATGAGAGAATTTATTTCTTGTGTTTTAAAGGTTTAAAATTGGTTATGACCAACAGTTAGAAAGTATGAAGTTTATTTTTATACAATATTCAGCTCATTGTAGCACAAAATCATGATTAAGACCATGCTTTAATTCATATAATCATAATAAAGATAAAAAAAAAAAATTCATATAATCAAAAGGTCATTATAATTTTCCCGATTTATATACATGTATAACACCTGTAGCCGAAGATACACCTCGCTCCAGCAACAGAGGAAAATAACTGATATCTGAAAAGGCACCTGAGATCACCCTCAGTTTCAAGTGGGGTTCGTGTGGCTTTTAATTCCAAGCTGTTAAATTATATAACAACATTCAAAATTTAATAATATGATTAACAAGTTGACTAGTTAATAATAACCCAATAATCATACAATCAAAGGAATTTAATATATCAATTAGCATGGTAATTAAGGAATTACATTCGTATTTTTGTCTAAGTTTTCATTAAAATCTAGTATAAAATTCAAGTAATTCAACTTTTTTATTAAGATTACAAAAAAAAATCATAAAACATTCGTATTTTTTAATATATTTTTAATGGTACGAGTTTGCAGTGGTACGAGTTCTGAATGGTACGACTTCCCAGTGGTACGAGTTTACGTTGGTACGAGTTAACTTTTTTGGTACGAGTTTACATGGTACGAGTTTACAATGGTACGAGTTAACTTGCTTCCGTATCACCAGCCCAGTCGTCAGCATTTCTGTTTTGACATGAATTGTTTTAATTCGAGCGCCACTGACGAGTCTTATGTTGACGATATTCTTTTTAATGAAGACGGTATTTTGAAAGGATTTGTTGTTGTACGGCAATTTACGCAATGGTGTACAGCTTATTGCAGAAAAAAACAACTTGTGTATTGTTCGGCTTCTTGAAATTTACAGCAATAAGATAAACGACTCGCCTTTTTGCTTTTATAATGCAATTATTTAAAATACTTTAACATTTAAACCATGCAAAACATTCAAAATCAATGAACCATGACTGAAGATGCAGGGCTAAATAACCTCAGTGGAGATGAGAAATGCCAATGCTTAAACAACTTCTGACTTATCATGAGTGGTCCCCTTTAAACTTACCTAAACACAAACTTAAACATATAAAATATGCAAAAGTTTCAAAGTCGACGAAAATGAGACGTGCAAATTCAAATACAACTCCATACTAAATACCATTGACTTAATTACCATAAGTGATTCATCTTAAACTTGCCTAATCACAAACTTAACTTAAACAACGAAGTCAATAAACTATGATTGAGAGGCGGGTCAAATAATCTCTATGGAAATGAGATGTAACAATGTCCAAACAAAAGCATACCAAATACCATTGTCTTATCATAAGTGGTACCCTATAAACTGACCGAAACACAAACTTTTAAACTAATGAACAAGTTTCAAAGTCCATGATGGGGGCGGTGCAAATGATAATACAAATGCATACCAACTGTCATTGACCTACCACTAGTGATTCCCCTTAAATTGACCTAATTTACAAACTAGTATATTGTCGCCGGAAACAATTAACACGCCTAATCTCGCTTTTTCGACTTCCTCGAGGCGAGACAAAAAATATCGTAATGAGGATAAGGAATACAAAATTTGGACAAATATCCTTAAAATGTATAAAAAGACTATATAAGTTGGGATAATGATAAGCTAATAAATTGTAATAATAGTGTTCCGAATTAAATATCTAATTATGTTTAACAAAACAAAAATAAATTAAATTAAATACAAACGAAGCAAAACTTTTTTGTACTTGACTTGAATATTGGTGCATTTCACTGATATGGCTCATGATTTAGTCATTTGTTGATTAATCACTGGACTTTTTGTTCAAATCTCTGTCCATGACAATACGGTTATACTTTCTACACTCTCGCTTCAAATATTCCGGCTATTTTAATTTTTTTGTTCTGTCACCTCGCGTTCCATTATTTCGCCTTATTCTTCATAGCAAATTAAGTTGAAAGCACTATATATCCTAACACGTCGGTGAGAACTAACGCTTTACGAAATTCAAGTTGTCACTGCACAACATTCTTATATTTGTTTTCAGAGAAACCTGCATCTAATAACCCTATCCACCACTGATATGTTCATCCAATGCTATCCATTTTCATATTCCTGCAGAGTTACTATGCAGATAGTTTGGTGATTAAGTATCAAATGATCACAATTATGTAACATTTATGGAAAAAAAAACCTGAAAAGTTTAAATCAAATTCTATGTTTATGAATAATAAAACAAGATAAACTTAATACAGAACAAAGACAAATACGCATTTTGCAAATTCGAAAACATCTCAGAACCGCAAACTATGTCCTTGCCGTACTTCATGTTTTGAATCTTAATTTATTCATAATTGCAATTCAAATGTAAAATGTTTTATTAGCACTAAGGTAAACATAAAATATTGTACAGCTTTAATATTCTCAAAAGTAATTGAGTACACTACATATGTTGCTGTTAACTAAATGAGAATTTTTCCAACTTTTTCATTGCGTCGTCGTATTTTGTATTCGCATCAAGAATTTGATTTGAAAAATATTTAGAGTTATCGTTATTGATTTCTTTAAAATGATTGTAAACTAAGAGTGGACGGTTGAATTCAGCATTAGTATAAGAAGAAGCGTATGGTTTAGGTTGATGTTCCAACCAGTTATCTCTGCTCTGACTGTTACCACGTGGAGTTTTTGACAAATCGTAAAAGTCTAGTTCATCAAACCGTGGACTTTGATTTGGTCTTTGCGAACTAATTGTTGGTTTGGTGCTCCCAGTAAGCCAAGTGTCTGGTTTAGGATTTGGACCCATTGGTTGATAACCTATACTTTTATGTGGTATACTGCTCGAAGTATTAGTAGGAAATCCCAACATAGTTCTAACATTTTCACGGTTTCTATCTGTACAGCAGGAACACGATAGAGTTCCCGTGCCTTCGTATACTGGTATAATATGTCCGTATTGAGCATAATGAAGATAGTCAGCCACTAAACCGTCTACTATAGTCTTTTGCGGGTTAATCTTTTGTGGAGGTGTGTTTGTCATTGGTTCGTTGGGTGCGTCTCTATACACAGTTTTAGGATAGGAATCTAAAATTTGTGTTTCACTTCGAGGCGGCCCCGTCGGTTGAAACTGGACTTTTCTTGATTTACCCGGAAGAGGACGAACATGAATAGAAGGTTTAGTATTTAGTGGTTGCACGGTTATTTTAGTATCAGTTGTCACTAAGCCGTCAGAATTTGTCCTTCTTGCACTTCTTGGAGTACGACCAGACATGCTTTCCTCGCGGATCGGAGGAAGACGGTGAAGTTTGGTCACTGATACCTGATATTTTGATTTTCCGGAAGCCATGGCTACTTACGTCATCGACGGTTGAACCCTACAAAAAAAAACAGTATATAAAGTCTTTTAAGAAATGAAATCTATCGATTGTTATTTTTGTAGACAAATTCAGTCGAAAATTTAAATACCCGAAGACTTTTGAAATTAAGTATGTTTACATAATAAGTTAAATTGGTTTTAAATTTTAGTGCAGTTGGCCAATATACCGTTTACGATAATAAATTGAAATGATTTATACAGTATACATACATTTAAATGTTTATTTAAGGGAGAAACGAAACGGGAAAACTCTGTAATCTATAAAGTTAGGTTTTTAGTAATGAACGTTCGAAATATTGTTTAAAATTTCAAATGAGTGATAACAATGTTATTGTGTTGAATGGTTGTTAATTAATTAAAGTCCAGCGGCAAATATTTCAGAACGTAAAACTTATTCAGAATATATGTAAATGAAATATAGTTTAGATATAAAAATAAGAAGATGTGGTATGATTGCTATTGGGACAACTCTCCGCAAGAGACCAAATTACATAAAACTTAGGCATGAGACATCGTTACAGCAACACGTAGACATTGTTAAGTAAGGTTGGAAAATTTAGCCTCTTGTGTCGCTTTTAACGGGGCTACTTGTTTTATAAGTAAAACAAAGTAGTGTTTTATGTACAGTCATTGTCTAAACAGTGGGAGAATGGAAGCAATATGGTCAAACCGTATACAGTTCAATGAGATGTTCAAACATTTTTTTTAACTTGGAGTATCCAAAAACCCTGCGTGGTTATTTATGTCTTAAGCCTCGGACCTTGCGAATCTTCCATCAGCGTGTATCTTTCTAATAATGTTAGTTCCAAAATTACTGGGTTCAGCTTTTTTCGATGAGATCTACTACATTCTTTATGAAAGTACATAATTAATTCACGATTTGTGCATGGTTTAATGGAAAATCAGATTATGTTATGCAACCTCAGACTAAAGAGATTCACTATACTCAAAACGTACATTACAGATATACACAGCAAAAACAAAATGTTGGACACTTCGACATATATGGCCCGAGAACACAGTTATTTTGTAGTGCATTTCTTTTAGACATAAAACGTAAGATAAGAAAATCGCACTTGCCCTATGTCAATTTTTTTTTACAGTGTAGAGTATTACTTTTGGGACACATTACAGGGGCGAATCCAGGATTTTATGTTAAGGGGGGCGCAAACTTAAATTTTCTCCGAGCGGAGCGAGGCGAAAATTTTTTTGAGGAAAATTTTTCGAAATATTCTTTATTAAGCTGACAACCCATCATCGGCTTTGCAAATTTTAGGGAGGCGCACGTCCGCCACGCCCCCGCCTGAATCCGCCCCTGCATTATATAAAAATTATAGAGAAGTCTACTAGCTCTATCTCAAAATATGGACAATTTTATGTGAAAGGGTCTATAATTCTATTTGACAGTTTCAGACATACTAATTGTTTACCTTTTCAACTGGGTAAACTCACTTACTATACATGAAAATTCATTACTCAAATTTTATTACATGTATAATTTCATCCCCTTTCTTATCATTTTATACATAAAATATAAATAAATAAATTTGGAAGATGTTAAAAAAAAATTGCAAGTTATTCACTGTTCACATTAGTAAAGGACGACAACTGTGTCCTCGGACAATACTACAGATACCAATTACTTTGAATTACTTCGTACAATGTATCTATTGAAGTTCTGTTACATTTGACGAGTTCGGTACGAAGTCTTTTATCAATATTTCTAATAAAGAAAAGAAAAAAATAAACAGACTTACATGTATAAAATTGTTTATAACGGTTAAGATATCGCCATGTTGTTTATTGTTGTCATAGAACGGTATGTCTCATGGTTGATTTGTCTACCTGATCTCACCTGTGTATTTCTTTTTAAATACCAAAGGGAGAAAATCTATTAAATGATAATGTGTTTAATCAGTAGAATTAAGGACATTTAAATTTAGAAAAAGATTGAAAAAGATATCCAATTTGACATTGGTGACTATAACATGGATTAGTACTAGTTTATATAAAGTTATTATATAAGTTGTATAAAAGAGAAGGCCCGGTAAGACCCCTTTTTGGCCCCAAAATATAGCATTTCAAAAATTTGTTAAAATGTAAACTTTTAGCTATTTATTGGAAAGTTGAATACTTTTGTAACATAAATATGGGCTGTTTATGACAATAAAATGCACATACATCAGGTACTAGCATCATTAATTCATGCAAAATTACTGAAATCTTCACAATTTTAGCATTTGTGCTTATTTTTAGACGGTTTTGGCTAAAATGGAAGTGGCCGCACTTGTGTTCAGTCTTTATATTTAAATCTGGGAACAGTATATCTAACAATATATATGTTCCTGTTTAAATATATGTTGTATTTGATGATGATACATAACATATATAAAGGTTGAGACTGAACATGAATGCGGCCACTTCCATTTTTGACAAAAACCATCTGAAAAGTGACATTTTGTGGCATATTTGATAGATTTTTCATATTTAAGCTTGAATTATGGCGTCTTTAATGACCAAATCAGTTCAAATCTTTTACATATACTAATTGAATCGACTAAAGAGGACACTTAAGTGTTTACAAAATGTCAAAAATCTTTCATCAGATGTGCTTAAAATTTTAAGCCAAAATAAGCCCTTACCGGACCTTCTCCTTAAATTATAACACCCTTTTCATACGAGGTTAGGAGAGGGAGAAGGAAGATGTTTCTTATTACGTTCTATAACTTGCATTGTCACCGTTTTATACCATTTGATATTTGAATCCATAGAAAAATTCCTCACTGCATTATAGATAATATGATGAAAAATAATTTAACAATGTAAAGAAGAAGATTAAAAGCACAACTGATAATTCCCATGTGAAAGTTTCTCTGAACTTGTGCTCGAAACTGACCCAAATGCCTGAAATCCTAAAATATCAAACAGCACCAAAAATACGCCAAAACACTAAAGGAAATAATGGATATCGAGGGGATCTGTAAGCGTATATTTGCTCCGCCTAATAGAAGTTCCACTGGAAACATTGTTATAAACAATGCCATAATATGTTCCTTTCGGAACGAATATTGTAGTGTAATATTTGTTCCACTGGAAGTAATATTACAAAATATTTCTTCCATTTGGAACTTATATTATGGAAAAAAAATCATAACATTTAATCTTAGAATTGAACACATTTTGAAAAATTTAACTTTTGCTGAATCATGTTTCTATAATTTCATTTAATGGAATTAAATTACAAAATCTAAAAAGTATTTTACAGATAGAAATTAGACCGCCCCTTCAGCAAAATATGCTTGTTTTAAATTACAATGCACGTGAATATATACAAAAAAATCATCAAGGTTAGTATTACGTTGGTCCAAGTGAAAAGTAAAATCACAAAAATACTGAACTCCGAGGAAAATTCAAAAAGGAAAGTCCCTAATCAAATGGCAAAATCAAAAGCTCAAACACATCAAACGAATGGATAACAACTGTCAAATTCCTGACTTGGTACAGGCACTTTCTTATGTAGAAAATGGTGGATTGAACCTGGTTTTAAAGCTAGCTAAACCTTTCACTTGTATGACAGTCGCATCAAATTCCACACATTTTAATGTGTACAAAAATTCATCAAGGTAAGACTGATATTTTAATACTCCAGATGCGCGTTTCAGCTTCACAAGACTCTTTAATGGCAATCGAATGAAATCAATTAGAATGCCAAATCAAAATACAAAATTGACTAATTACCCCCTCCCTCCCCAAAAACAAGTTTTGCTATATGTAGCAAAGGGCATCTATCTAACGACAAAAAGTGTAAACGGTGGCTCATTAAAACCTTACTGTCTTCCTTAGACAAATCTATTTGGACTGCAGGGAGAGTTGGAATAACATACGAAGGCCTTATGACATCTGATGCAAAACCTGATTTTACCTTTGAAATGTCGTTCTATTCTACAAAGGGCAATGCTTAAGAAATTTTAAAATGTATTGAATATGTGTTACAAACCACAGAGCTTATTGTTGGATAAGTGAGCCTTTTTAATATACTGGTTAAAACTTTCACAAATATACACTTTCAGGTTTACTTTTGATAAAAAAATGTTTTTAATGTTCAGCAGGTAAAGTCAAAATTAATCACGTTAAAAGTAAAACGATTTCTTTAATCATTGTGATCATAACTGAATATCAATTGAGGTAATAAACATTAAGATATGCGAGACCTTTATAATAATGTGTATAGGACAAAATAAGTTATAGAATTGCCAAATAGAAGGAATAGGATATTGGAAAGTTTTGTAGAAAACAAATGATCTATAACTAAATGTGTTTTGCTTTGTAATGTGACATAACGTAAGGCTCAAGTGTTTTTAGATTTACTTCAAATTAAAACGTCAACAGAAAGATTTTTAACAAATATTCCTAGGCTTCTTTCCATGTGGATTCACTACAGAAAGAGAGTTATTACGGCAATTTTGGTAAGAAATTACATTTATCACTCAATGTAGAACTTGAAATGTTTGCTGTTCTGTATAAAGTTAATAAGATTTTGTTTTTTTTCTCTCGTTTAATTTTTAAGGTATAAACGATAGCCATTTAGAAACTCAATATCTAAACTGTAAGTAGAAAGTTGATATAATTTTGAACAGAAAAATGGCTGATAGTTGAAAAAATAAGTTCCTAAAAAACCTTCTATTTCATATTCATTGGTAATGTCTTCAAATAAACCAAAGACGAGAAGGTTTCGTTTAGGTCCAGCTGAAGATGAAATTTCTTTTCGACAATTGCAGAACAAGCATGGCCATCTTATAAAAAATGTTGGTCGCCTTGTTGCATCCTACCCAAAACAAGATAACAATATTTACCAACACAACTTTAACTATGCAAAGCCTAAACCTGTGTTTAAAGGATATTTACCAAAAACTGAAGTCCTGAAAAACGAAGATGCTGGCTCACAAGCAAATGTTCTAGTGTATCCCGAGGAAGATATACGTGATAATGAAGTTGTGGACGATGTTCCTAAGTACATATATACCACAAAATTTAAAAAACAACCAGGATATGATACTGCTAACAAAATAGTTGAAAAGGTGAACCCAAGAATAACACAAGCTATGAAAGAACAAGAACGATTACAATCACAAAGAAAAATAGTGGATACAATGATAGACGATTATCTATGTAACCATAACTACGGACATGTTATACCGTGGTATGAAGGCACTGGCGTTCTCACGTGTGAATGTTGTACAGACAGAAACAGAGAAAATGTCAGAAATGTGCTCGGATTACCACCAGATCCAGACAACACAGTCTCGCCGAGGGAAAGAAACCCTTGGTTATCTACAACAACCGAAAATGGGAAAAACGTAAAATATAATGTGTATCCATTAGGACGACAGCCTAAACAGCAAGTACAAGCTCTGAAAATTGATCCTGCCTTCCGGCTATCCGATAAAACAACCCGAAATAATTGGGCATCCTCAGCAACATTTCAAATGCCTGATTTTTACAAACAAGAACTGACAAGAAGTTATCCAGATTACGTTTCAAATAAGAAAAGTTCATCTTTACCCCGTTTATTTCCAAATATTCGAACAATACCTGGTCCTACATACATTTCACCGAATTATAATGCGAAGAGATGGCCAAATTTTAAAAGTAAAAACAAAGATAGGACCTCAGATATGGAAACTATAAGAGAATCTGAGACAGATTATGGAGATTTATCCAACAGGATTACAAGTGCCGATAGAAAATATAATCTTGCCATGGGAAATTTGAGAAAATTTAAAGCCAGATAAACAGCCAAATTGGTAAAGTTTATTAAAAGTAGAACAATAAATATCTGTATAAACAATAGATATATTTCTATTTTCTACCTTCCAATTAAGTGCAGTTAAATAATGTTGCCTTTTGTAAGTAGCCGCATCCCTTGTTTCAAGTGGCAGGCATAAACTAGCTTATTAGAACCTGTTTTTCCCCACAGAATATCTAGCTGAGGGCCAGTATAAGCTCAATTTCAATTGACAGCCGTCGTTCATGCACTTTTCTTCATAATAAAAGTTTATGAACGACGGTTGTATTTTTTTTTTAGAATAGAAATTTCTACCAAAATGACCATCGATTTACTCCTTAACGGAATAATAGCCCTTAAATGACGATTTTTTTGCCCATTCGCATAGTAACTTGAAACTTTGATAGATAAAACCTTTGAAGCAATATAAAGCAATTGAAATAGAACTTAACGTATTAGTTTGTGAATTTCATAACGATCTTTACACCAACGTGCATTACAGTTCGTGTCTGAACAAGGTTAGGCTACCTGGACTATGCGTTTTTCGTTGTTTTTGTCTTTTTGTGTTTTCCAGTTCATTTTCGGAGAAGACAGATGTTGGTAGTTTATGTGGCCTGTTGTACTGTTAACCTTCAGAAACACTCAGAAACGTGTCCTTCCCCCCAAACGTGTCCGATTCCCCCAAACGTGTCCACATGACGTCACTGAACTGCAAAACAAGTCTTAATGTAAAAGGGCGCCAAAGCGTGTCATTTGTATGAACGCCCAAACGTGTCCATTTTTTAATAAACACCTAAACGTGTCCAATCCCCCAAACGTGTCCATATCAACCTTCATTTTTTTTCTTTAAATGAACTATCATTCGTGTCCATATTATAAATACGTACGTTATTTGGTTATTGCTTTTTCATTAACGTAAACTCATTTTACTATTTCATTAAAAAAAAAAAAATTACTATAGGTCTTTTTTTAACATATAACGGTTAAAGTGGGGCGTCTGCTAATCTATGTAGGATGTAAATGTAAGCAGCCACGCTCAGTTAATTTCTGGATATTAAATCCGAT